ATGCCAGACACAGTAACAACAAAGTCTCCAATGGAGACGTTACTGGGCCCGCTCGAGCAAATCGACGATCAACGGGAGGGTCTTTACCTTTACCTTTATTCTTAACTCAGCTTTCTTCTGCTTTCCTGCTGCAGTTTCTCCATGGTGGGAACAAACATGTAACTTTTCTATGATAGGAACAAACTGGATTATTTTATGTCAAAGGAAAGACACTGTCCTCTTCTTCTGTTTGGATTTTAGTCCAACCAAGACTTCTGGGCAGAATTACCCAACCTGGGACTACTTTATTCCCTTTATTGTTTGACTGCAATCCAGTGGAAATCTAGTAGTTTTTTCTATTAGTGTCAATACATTTATATTATTTTGTAAACAAAATAGAATTTTAAGTTATATTATGTTATCATGCAATTCTTTTTTTTAAATGTAGGTGTACTGCTATTTATTCAGTCATTGATTAAGCTAATTAAATTGAACATAAGTTCCACATTAATTTTTTTAAAATTCAGGATATTAATTTAATTTAATTTTTATATTTTTTAGTTGAATCGCCATGTAATTACAAAGCTTTCCTGTTTGAGTTTTAGTCATATAATGATTGAACACCCATCCCTCCACCACTGCACATCTTTCACCACCAATGTCCCGGGTATCCTCCCAATTCCACCCATCCCCCTGTCTCTATGGCAGAAAATCTCCCCCATACTCTCTTTTGTATTACTTGTTATGAATAGCATAAGATATCACATAGCTTCCAGAGTGGATGTATGCTCCTGGAATTTTAAAATTATAGATAATTAGGGTCTGGAGAAATTTGCCGTGAGCTGCTGGGTTTGGAGATTCTTTTGTGTGTCTCTGGATCATGGCAGTTAAGAAGTTTAAGTAGTAGCCAGAGGTGGTTTGTGGACATGACCTCCAAGGTCCCATGGGGACAGGTGTGTGTTGGTGGGAGGAGGGTGGATGACAAGGACCAACCCATCCCTTATCCCTTGAGGCCTGGAGTTTGCCATTACTGAACCCATGCTCCTGCACTACTCATTGGGTTCTAAAAGTTGGTGGCTGGCAGGGTTCTTAGGGTCTGACGCATTCCAGTGAAGTTGGCCTGGCTTAAAGTCCGGAGGCATCTTTGCAGTGAGCTGCTTGGTTCAGAGATTCTTTTGTGTGTCCCTGAATCATGGCCCTTGTTTTTATCTTTCCTAGATAAATACACTATTGGCATATGCCCTTCAGGGCATGCCTGCTAGCCCATAGCATCCTGGCCCTGACTGTGGCTTTTGAAGTCTTTCGAGATTTATGGGTCAATAAGGCCAATAAATGAGCTTGTATAGCTGAGCAGGAGGTGGTTTGTGGGTGTGGCTCTAACATACCTAACTTTGGGCCATTTAATTTCTTGGTAAACTTGGCCCCAAGTTGCTGGGGTCCGACCAAAGGCACAGTGGCAATTTTGGGGTTTCAGGAAGTCTGAAGGCACCATTAGGCTGCTGATGCACTCTCTCTGCAGGTACAGATTGACCTGCTAGCAGCACTGTACTTTCTGTAGTGCAATTCTTGACTCAAAATAGGTAAAGAAATGATGACCCAGGACATCATGAAGGGTCTTTCTTGGCTTCTTGGAACACTCTCTTGGATTCCTGAGTCACCTTGTCAAGTATCAGTCCCCACGGGAGAGTCTTAATGGGGAGATCTGAGATGACTGAGCTATTCTGGGTAAACCTGCCTTTGTACAAAGACTGAGTTGGGGAAGGGCTGTAGGAGGTGAAAGTATTTCATCAGTATGAGGAAAATGACCTGGGACCAGCGCATGGACAATTGAGCCCTTGCTCCAAGATGGCTGCCCCCAATTCCTCATTCCCTCAAGTTCCCATCCAGAGAGGGCCTCTGTCCTTGACAACATTCTTGACCAGTAGTCTGTGAAGAAATGATGTCCCAGGCCTCCAGAGGCTCCTTCACAAAGGTTCTTTCTTGGCCTCTTGGACACTCAATCTTTAAGTCCTGAGCCTCCTTGTGATGTTTCAAACTGCTCTCTGGGAGTCTCTGTGGGGAGACCTAAGGAGGGAGAGAGAGCAGCTAAGTCCTGTCTTCAGGGCTCCTATTGAAGTGCGACCCAGAGAGAAACCATCTTGGTTCCTTCAGCCCAGCTGCTCACTGACTCTTCCCAAGTGATTGAGTTAATGGGCAGATGAATCCTTCAGGTCTGCCTGTGGGAAGTTCTGACCTAAATTATGAGATTTGTGATTTGATGATCCAATTAAAAAATAGATTATTGGATAATTGGTTCACGTTAAGGAATAGCCAAAAGAAAACTGCTTGGTCATGTAATTACTTTTAGTAGATATGCTAACAATGTACTTAGTGATGAAACCAATTTCTCCTCTCAGCCATATCTAGAGAGAGGCAAACAAAAATAATGGCACACTTGTCTTTTAATAAAATGAAAACAGAATAGTTCTGTGAAAAAAATAATCTGAAGAGAAGTTGAAAAAAAAAATACAACCGTCTTTCATGTGTATGATGTCACCCCTTTGCAACAGCAGGGATCGTATGGCTTAGAAATATCAGAATTGTAGAACACAGGGTGTCTGCTGGGGAGAGCAGAGGCTGATTGTGTATCTGATAACTTCAGAAGATGTTTCTGCAGGCTTCTCCCCAGATTATGCCCTCAGAGTCCCTGAAAGAACTCGGAAGTGGTCCAGGAATCAGTGCCAAGGTCCTTTCCTGTGGGAGGGAGATCCGTGCTCCCAGCTCTCCAGAAACAGTGAGCACAGTTGGAATCCAGGTGGGACAGAGGATCCAAGATGGAACCTGAGCTGAGTGGCTGGAAGTTGGCAGCTTTACCGAGAAACAAGCGACATATTCTTAGGAAATCTCTATGAAGTCCTTTGAGGCAAAGGGTCATGAAACATGAAATGCACTTTCAAGTGATTCTGAGACAGACTCCAAATATCCATCCATCCATATGCAACAGACATGGGTGTAGAGACCTGGTTTCACTGGGGGTCTCAGAGGCTGGCCCTAACTACCCCTACCCCTCCCTGGAATGGGGTTTGCCTCTGGCTATGGAACCCAGGGTAGTCACCAGGCTCTGTGTACAGCAGCCCTACCCGCTGGTGTCATACAACACTCCTGCAGTCTCAGTCTTTGGGTAGCTCCTGGGCTAAGAGGATCCCATGCCCCCTTGGGCCCTCCTGATCCCAGACAGGCCCACTTTTTCTTCCTTCCTACTCTGTGCGAACTCTCTCAGCTGTACAGAAAGCATTGCTATTGGGTTCAGTTCTGGGAGGATGGGTGAAGGGCCACTTTGGGTGCTAGGTCTGGGGCTTTATGTTCATTCACTCAGTCCAGCCTTGTCATGCAGGAGCGTGGGGCTGTTGGATGCATGGCCTCTGGGTTCAGACCAGCCTTAGCTGTAGGTGAGGCGGTCACCGAAGCTCAATATGGTGGAGTCAGGGAGCCCTCAGCCTGGTGATGGGATTCAATGGGGTTGTGGAGGAAAGGCCAGGAGCCTGCAGGCCTTTTGGAGCCAACCCCAAGAGGTTGAGGTCAATGGCTCTGACCCTGTGGTGTTTCGGGTGATGTGGCAAACTGGAAGATCTGGCAGTTCCACCGCAACGTTAAGGATGGGCCCAGACCCCTCAGCAGGTGATCTCACTGCATGCAGGGTTCTCCTGTCCTCTCTTTTGCCCTCTCTCTGGACCCCTGCTTTTGATCTGGACTATTCATCTGGGATCCCATAGTCCAGATCAAAAGCAGGGGTTGGTGGGTGTAGGGTGGAATCGCCCTTTCAGATGATTCCAGAGACACAGGGGACAGGGACAGGGACATTCTGTAGTGCCACTTCTTTGAGATTACTCTGGGCCTCATTCCATCTCTGTCTTTGGCTCTGTCAACAGTTGGCTCTGTGGCCTTGTCCCTGTTTCCTGGGGGTTCCAAACCAGAACATCCCACCTTCCCCGAGGGATGGGAAAGAAGAAATTTCAGAGCCCAGACACTGAGAGACAGTTGTCAGAGCCACTCCTGCCCCACTCTCCCCAGGAAAGATACGTAATTGTTGGGCCCACCAAGCCCTTCCTCTCTGCAAACTTGTGTTTAATAGCCCCAGTCTGGGGAGAGAACCATGTTTGGTCTTAGTACACATGGTCCCGTGTCATTGGTGCTCTTGTTCCAGTGGGTATCAGTCACATACAGATTGCATTCAACAGGATGGAAGAGTCTCTGGTGTGCTAAATTCTGGAAAAGGATGTGGTGGGACATTACTTTTGCTTGAATTTTTTTCGCAAAACTTTCCAGAAAAATTTTGGTAGCTAGAGCGGGGCTGACAGCTCACTGGACTGACTATAGGCTTCTTATCCAGGAGCCGTGGGTTTGACTCAGGCACCACAGGGACCCCTGAGTCATGCTCCAAGCACTGAGCGTGGAGATGTCCCACAATTGCTAGAACTTCTCTTTTCTTATTTATGTATATATATATTTGTATATCTTTGTATATATTTATATATCTACATATCAACTTACCTTTGTATGACTACCTACATACCAATATATAAATCATCTATCTTAATGTCTTTAAAAGTTTTTTTTTGTTGTTATTGTTTTTTGGGGGAGTCACATCCAGCTATTTTCAGGGTTTACTCCTGGCTCTGCCCACAGATCATTCCTGGCAAACTCGAGGGACCCTATAGGTTGCCAGGGACTGAAACTGGATCAACCACTATAAGGCAAGTGCCCTATCTGCAGTATTACCCCATCCAGCCACCATGCTTTTGTCTCTCTGTTGTGTTTTGGCTACTGTGGTTTCTTCTTCTTTTAGTTTCTATTGAGAAATAACTTCAGGCTTATAGGAGTTTGTAAGAGGAGTTGTGACCCCTTAAGCTCTTCTTGCAGGCTCCCCATGGCACCTGACCAGGAGCCATAAACGGGAGCAGAAAGCTGGGAGGTGTGGGCAGTATTCAAGGCTGGAGAGATAACCCCTTCCCATTCAGTATCATCAGTGATCAGTCACAATATCAACTGACAATCATTTATTACAAGAAGAGAAACTGAAGAGCAGAGAAACTCCCATGGCTATTAAAGTCCTGGGCGTCCCAGTGCCCATCCCCAGAGGGCAGCTTGGTGTCCCTTGGCTGTGCCCTCAGGATGGATTCGCCACCTTGGCCAGGAAGAGGCTGCTCCAGGAGACATTGTCGAAGATCATGACCAGGAAGGGATGGTTGAATTTGATTGTGGGCGACTGCACGGTCTCCCCTTGGCCTCCTGAGGTGGAGATTGGGGGTGCGACAGCTTCCTTGCCTTTCTCAGTGAGTTGCAGCTTGATCTTCTGGATCACCTGTTGGGGATGAACCAAGGGCTAGGTAGCACCTGCTAGACCCTAACCTTCCTGCATAGGGCTTCCTGCTTCACTTGACTTCAGGAAGAGGGACACCAGGGTCCAGGGAGGTCATGGACTGACTTCTCTCCTACATGACAGCTCTGGGTGCAGAAGTCTGTCCATTTCTAGACCATGGGAAACTTCTAGACTTTTTCCTGAGACAGGGGGCAGGTCTTGCCTGCCTGATGGACAGTCAAGGGTATCAGGCAGGAGCTGAACCCTCCCTTACTCCAGCCCTCCTCCCTAGGTCCTGCGCTGCTCAGGGGAGAAGCAGCACCTATTTCTGTGGGGGGAAGTAACTAGGGGTTTGCGCATTCAGGGAAAGGGCATCAGTGATTGTGGGAAGTTCAGAGTGTGATGAAAAAGATAATGAATTCTGGAGTCAGCACACACGGAGCTTGGAAAGAAACCTGGGCAGGCTCTGGAGAAGCTCACGGAGGTTCCCGTGCCCTGAGGTGGGGTTGGGGAACCACAAACCGGGTCACCAGGTGGGGGCTGGGAATGAGGCCTGAGTCCAAGCTCAGGGCAGAGGGGGACACTGTTCTAGGACTCTGCAGCCCTGGTCAGTGCCTGGACCTCTTGAGAGATCCTCCCAGGGACAGCCAGCACTGTCTGTCGGAGGAGGGGCCATCATGAATTCATTGAGCATCTCTGGGCTATGAGTTCATGTGCGGGCAGTAGGAGGCTACTGCCCCAAGGTGTTCTCCAAGTCCCTCAGACCCTGATAGTTTAGTCACCCACAGGATTGTCAGATCTCTGAGGGCAGGGCCAGCAGAGCCCCAGTGCCCTGGAGAGCTCTTTCAGAATGAATGGATGAAGAGGAGAAGAATGTAGACAGTGGGGCAATGGGTGGTGGCACAGTGGGGATTTTCCGGACATCTCCACTCTCCATCCTCTTTCAGGGCTGCCCACGTCTCTCCTGACCACTTCCTTTCCCTAGCCTCCTGGATGGCATAGGGACATGTGGGGCTTCAGCCTCACAGACCACCTGCCTGCTGCATGACTGGGATACCCCCTTCTTGTGCTGAGCCCCCCAGAGAGACTGCTGTAACCCTCGAGGCATAGAGAAGATCTGGGGTTCGAGGCCCAGGACCAGGACACCCACTCAGGGAAAGAGTTCCGCAGGGCTGCCTGTCACTCTCAGTGTGGATTTGAGGGAGCAGTGAAGGGTCTCAAAGACAGTTACCTTTGACAGCTTTTGCTGGACATTACTGGTGATACGGGACATATCTGTCTGGCTGTTCTGCAAATCTGCAATGCCTGTGAGCTTCATGATGTCCTCGAGGTCATTGGTGCCAGACAGGGAGAGTCTGGGCATGTAGAGTTCTACACGACTGCTCAGAGAAGCAGAGAGGTTAGACAGTCCTGTAGGGCAGGGCCTGGGCGTTCACACTTGCCCTCCCCTGGATTGATCCAGAGCTTGCCTCTGGGCCAGAACACACAGAACAGGAAGAGATGGATTTCCCTCTTCCTCCATTTCTCAGACAGCTCCTCTCAGGGGCTCTTGAGCAAACTCTTGTGCCCAGCTCTTCCTTGAACTGATTCTGCCTGTCATGAGCTACATGAGCTACCTGAGACACTGTCTCTAAACAAGGTGCCCAGCACCTCCTGGCAGGTGGGGAGGAGCAGAGGGAGCACCTACAGGAAGCAGGAGTCTCGGTCCATTGATGCCACTATGCCCTGCCACTTTAGCTCACCCCCATCTCTGTGTTCCTGACACATCAGGGCAGCATGGCGACCCAGGGACCCTCCCAGACCTTTCTGCTCAAAACCTGTTGTCCACTGGACTGACAATTTCCATGACAAAGTGGATACAGTTCTCAAATGTTGGTGCAGGTGGGGTGGGTGTTTATACATGGTCTCTCCATCTCTGAAGGCATTTGCTTCATTTTACAATTCCTTCTCTTCAGAGCAGAAAGAGATACTGAGCACCCTGAGCATCTGGAAGGGGCAGAGACTCTGCACAGAACAGAAGGGGAGACTGAAGAGAGGTGAATGGGGGAGATATTCTTTTCTTTGAACCAGAAGACATCTGTGACTGAGCGGCTGGAAAAATCCTTCTCCGGGAAGTGTGTGGGACAGGGGCTCTCTGGCTAGGAGCAGAACTGAGCAGAACTCAGCAGGACTCTGCGCTCGCTCCTCCCATCCACAGGGGCATGTTTGTCCCAAGCTAGAGTCAACAACTTCTGTTTCCAGATCATGACACAGGAATTAATGTGAGTTTCCCCAGACAAGCTGGAAACCAGGCCCTGTGGTCTGACAGTCCCTCGGCCTGGCTTAGAAGACCTATGGGCCACAGCAGATGGGGCTTCCCCAAAGGGGGATGTGAGTGGGACCCTCTAGGCTGTGTGCTCGGGGGCATGGGGTGCTGGAGAGTAAAGGCAGGGGGAGCTGGGGATGGGAAAAGTGAAACACAGGTGAGGACTAAGGAAAGAGGGTTTGTCTGTGTTCTGTGGGGCACAAGGACCTCCCCAGAAGGAGCAGTCATTGCGTCCAATCATATGATGGCGACAGTTGCCAACTTTCACCATGGATGCTGTAAAATGGCATTATTACAGGTTTATATAACACTTTAGTGGAAACATTTTCGATGTAGAGAAATATTATCCTTCATCTCTTTTTCAACAGGATGGGCAGCGGTTAGAGGATGGAGCAGAATGTGACTCCTGGTACCTTCTCATCCTCTAGTTACCCCACACTCAAATTACAGGTTCCTTGGAGATGAGGGTAGGGAGGGAGGGGGCAGATGAAAAGGTGAAAAGATGGCAAAGAATCCCCATAATGACCCAAGCACAGGGCCCTCCATGTGCAATGCCCTTCGTACCCCCCAACTATGTCACTCAAAGCAAGCAGGGATGGTCTCAAGACTCTAAGAATGTATACCCCAAATCACCCCATTTCATGGGAGACTGACTCCTTCCCTGTAGGATAAAAGTCAAACTCCAGGTCCTGTCCTCAGAGGACTGGGTCAACTTCCCATGAGAATCACCCCATGAGCACTCTGAGAGAATGAGCCGAAATGAATCATACCTCAGAACACAGTGAAACTTTCACCTATAAAAAAGAGGAAAGCTTATTCTAGATTTTATGTCTGCATAATTCTTGCATGACACAATCCACTCCAGCGCAATCTGCCTCCTCCTTTGGCTATTCCTTGCCTAGTTCTGGCATTGCCTTGAACACAGCCTTTCCAGCCTCCTCCACTTCCTGCCTCCACCAGCTGACTTTTAAAGCAGGATTAGAGGAGTTCAAAGGCAGCACAGGTTGTCTGGCAACTCCCCACCACCATCCCTGGGTCTGATCTTGCCCACCCTGTTTTCACATTTCTACATTTCCTTTCCTCTATCCTTATAGTCCTGTAGTGCTTGACTACATCACACACACACACACACACACACACACACACACACACACACACTGTCTCACACTGTCCTCCCGTTGTTCATTGATTTGCTCAAGCGGGACCAGTAATGTCTCCATTTTGAGACTTGTTGTTACTGTGTTTGGCATATTGAATACATGATGGGTAGCTTGCCAGATTTTGCCATGTGGGCGAGATGCTCTTGGTAGCTTGCCGGGCTCTCTGAGAGGGGTGGAGGAATCGAACCTGACTCGGCTGGGCTGGCTGCACGCAAGGCAAACGCCTTATCGCTGTACTATCGCTCTATCCTTATAGTCCTGTAACTCTTGACCACATCACCACCACTAATTCTCCAGGACATCTGTTCCGGTCTAGGACAGCTGTGCTGGAGGTCTTTATTCTGTCTTAGGCCCCTTTCTTCCTTGTACTCTGCATCATACTTAGCTGGTCCCCAGCAAGTGCTTCCACTGATGTGTATTGTACAAATAACTGATTGCGTATGAAGGAAGACAAATGGGAAAGAAAATGCACCGCTCCAGGACCTCCATAGGCTTCCAGTTCCTAGTGTCACTTGCCCCTTGCATTCCCCAGTCCCTTTCAGTTGCCCTACCCCACCTGACACGGGGACTCGCTCTGTTACTCTCACTTATCTTGAATACTCTCACTTATCTTGGGCTTGAGCGATAGCACAGCGGGTAGAGCATTTGCCTTTCATGCGTTTGACCCAACCAACCCAGGTTCAATTCCTCTGCCCCTCTCGGAGAGCCCGGCAAGCTACTGAGAGTATCTCGCCCACACGGCAAATCCTGGCAAGATCCCTGTGACGTATTTGATATGCCAAACACAGTTACAAAAAGTCTCACAATGGAGACGTTACTGGCCACGCTTGAGCAGATCAATGAACAATGGGAGGACTGTGACAGTGACAGCAATCTTGAATAGACAGAACTTGATTTATCTGAGAATGAGGATCATGACCAAGTGCATCTGCTCCTCTCTCCAAGATGAGAATGGAGAGGGGAGCTGGGCACAGCGTACTCTGCTGTTCTCTGGCTCAGAGGTGCCCAGAGTGGGGCAGAAGAGATCATTGGTTCATTTCTTCCTGCTACTGTTGCTTGCTCCCAGGCTCGGCCAGCCATCTGCATATATCCCATCCTGGCTCTCCTCCTGACCCCAAGCTCACTGCATATACACCCTGTTTCTCACCTTACAGCCTCGCTAAATGCTCAGATCCTGGCTTTTAGAACTCACTGTCTAGATTGTCTTGTGATTTATTGCCTTCCCTGAGTGACTTTATAATGTATCCAGAGGCTTTGTGTGGGTTATGACATGGTGGAGTCGGGGAGACTGTGTTGCTTGAAATCAGTTTGAGGAAATGGAGACCGGATGGTAGTATATGGATGCCTGGTTGATGCCTGATCTGGGTCCAATTGTGGGAACCATTTGGTCCCCTGAGCATCATGTTGTGCATTCCCAAAGGCTGTGAGCGCCACTGTGTGTGGCCCTCGAGGCTGGCTAGCACTGGGGAGTGCCCTGGGTATCCCAGTATTGTAGAGACAAGGTGGCGTTGGTCTTCTTGGCTGAGAATCATCAGGGTACTCCAGATCTGCTGAACTTACATGGGAACCCCCTCCCTTCAAAAAGAAGATGATGCAAAAATGTGATGATACAGAGGGGTATTTACTCACCTCCCAAAGAGGGACCCTAACCTTACAGAAGGCCCTAAAGTATCTCAGTGAAATCCAGGGTAAATCCAGGTCGGAAACCTCAATGCCTTGGGTACCCAACAGTCAGAAAGCCATCACCTCAGAGAAAGGATGGAGTTACCTGTCGATCACTGAAGTGGCCCATTTTTGAAGTGTGTCTCGGCTCAGCGCCTGGATGACCATGTCCATCTGTTCCCCGTCTGGGAGGATGAAGAAGGCGGTGCTGTTGCCCACATAGTCCAGCTGCACCACCGAGCAGCCCAGCTCCGAGTCATACAGGTGCTTGATGATGCTCGACTGAAACATCATGGGCACCTTCACCACAGTTGTATCATCCACATAGAAGTCCCCCAACCTGGTGTCTTCTGGATCAAAGACCTGTGTCCATGTGCCTGGGAAGACAGGAAGTGAAGATGGGAGGTGCAGAGTCGGGGTTGCTTAGAGCTGGGGCCACCACTCAGCAGGGAAGGGGCCCCTCCTGAACTGCAAGTGTCCAGAGACATCTGGTAAAGTGTGGGATCCCCAGAGGGAAACCTACTACACACAACAGATGGAGTGTTCACTGCATCTCCAACATTGGCTTGTAAAAAGGGAAAGTGAGAGAATGGATTTGGATCCAGTGTCTTGATTCTGTTCTTCTAAGTATCCAAGACAGACAGTGTTGGCTGGCCAGACCCCAGGAGCCAGGAAACCAAGGCCCCGGCGCCCTTCACAGCCTTCCTGGAGGAATTCCTCCATGCAAGGACCCGGACCTGAGCAGCTCTGCACTGGCGTCCAGGGCCTGACACAGAGCCAGTAAGAGCACTTGGAATTGGGGCCCTGCAGCCCTGCCCCAGGCAGGGGCCCCCAAAGTCCGAGAAACGCTGTGTCAGTATGGAGCAGGCCCCCTCAGCTGCTCTTCTGAGCTCGTTCTTCATATGGGCTGGAGCGATAGCACAGCGGTAGGGCATTTGCCTTGCACGCAGTCAACATGGCCGACCCGAGTTTGATTCCTCCGCCCCTCTCGGAGAGCCCGGCAAGCTACCAAGAGTATCTCGCCCGCAGGGCAGAGCCTGGCAAGCTCCCCGTGATGTATTCGATGTGCCAAACACAGTAACAACAAAGTCTCCAATGGAGACGTTACTGGGCCCGCTCAAGCAAATCGATGATCAATGGGAGGGCCTTTACTTACTTTTACTTACTTACTTACTGTTCTTCTTCACTTAATATTTCCCCACCTGGTCATAGAACACCCCTCCTTCCCCAGCCCTGTCAATCAGTTGCATCTCCTCTCTGGGGGAAAGAGGGGTCCTGACCCTATAGTGTCCCATGCCCCCTCCATTTCCTGGAGGCAGACCAGTGTGAAAAGTGCCCTGAACTTCCAGGCCATATCCTGGAGCTGCCCATCTGCTTTCATGTCACTCAAACCATTTGACCCTTCCCCATGCAGCGCTCGTTCCCGTCACAGAGGGGATTTTCACACTATATTCAGCTTGGAGAGAAGAAAGTGACTTCTACAACACCACTGCCCACTGAGGTCACAGCCACAGAGCCTCTCCTGCCGTCAGAACTTCCATAGCAACTCTCCAGGCTCTGGGTTAAGACTCATCATAATTGGAGAAGATGGAGAACCCTGATGTGGAGGACCCTGGTGTCCGGGCTGCTCTTGAGCTCAAGTTCCAGCACCATTTTGGGCTACCAACCAGACTAGGTGGCAACAACTGTGCAGGCCACTCAGGACACCTGGTTCTTCACCAGCTGATGAGCCATGGGAGAGGACTCCTTCTCTGAACCAGTTTTGCTGATCGGGAGGGTTGAAAGGGGGCGACTCTGAGGAGGCAGATGATCGGAGACCTGGGAAGCTGGGACCATGTCAACCTCCTCACAGAGCTTACTGGGGGCTGATTCACCACTTGTGAGAACATCTTAGAGTTCTCACCCCCCAAGAAGTCTGGAAGTCTGGGGTCCCCAGGAATGAAGGGTGTGGTGCTTTGTAACTAGCGTGTCCATTTCCCAGAAGAAAGCAACGTGCATAAAGAAACTTCCAGTCAGATATTCAGCTTCATATTGTTTCTTTCCCAGAATCACTAGGACATATCAGTTTGGCATGAAACAATAAAGAGTTAACTCTATCCTCTATTTAAAGGAATTTTATCTCAATGTTCCATAGACGAGAAAAAGTCATGGTAGAAAAACTTAAGAATTTGTGCACAAGTATCTGAGAAATAGAGAGGATGATTCGCTGGGAAAACCTTTTAGAGGAATTTTTGTTTTGTTTTTGGACCAAACCTGGCAGGGCTTAGGGGTTACTCCGGGACCTGCACTCAGGAATCACTCCTGGCAGTGCTTGGGGAACCATATACAATGCAGGGATCCAACCCTGTCGGCTGCGTGCAAGGCAAGCACATTGCCCCTTCTACTATCTCTCCACCTCCACCTCCAACTCCCTTTAGTGACATTTTCTATGTTCTCCATAAAGAGCTGTAAAGAGAGTCACCATATCAGGAACTGCCTCAGTGTCATGACAATGGTGCTTTGCTTCATTTCTAGACTAATCTGCTTGCTGGGACCATTTCAGTGGATGCCCCACCTACCCAGGTGAACTGACTTCAACATTCTCACAGGTCATCAGTGCTCAATGTGGCATCTCACATCCTGATGCTTAAAGGCTCTCTGGTTTGGTCACAAGGGGCTACTCTGTTTCATCAGTCTCATCCCACTCAGTCCTGAGGATGCTAAGTTAAGAAATAGAAGACCTGTGCTAAATGCTGCCACAAGAGTACCCAAACCAACCTGTGCACAGGTGTGCAGGTCCTGACAACCTCTGGGTCCCTCCATGTGCTTGTCTTCCCTGGGTCTTTCTCCCCAGGTTCTGGTCTTGTCACAGCCTCTATTTGACTGTTTTCACTAAGCAGAGTGACTGGGCCCCCGAAATCCAAGGATGCCACACACACGAGTGCACAGTCCAGTGGGAGAGGCAACCTATGGATTTATGGGAGCACCCAGAAATACTTTGGGGTAAACTTGCCCAGACTTCTTAGCCCAGACACTGTCAGGCAAAAGGAATACTCTGGAACTACAAAAACCTTTCACCACCAATGTCACCCTCCAACAGTAAAACTTGAGGCATCACACTGCCTGATTTCAAGCTGTACTGCAAGGACATCATCATCAAAATTGCACTGGACTGGCATACACCACAGTTCAATGAGTTGAAATGAGCTCCCAGAAACAAACCTTCTCAAAGGTTTTTGACTGGAGTCAAGAATATTTAATGGTGATGGAAAATGGGCACTGGTGGAGAGATGGGTATTTGATCATTGTATATTTGAAACACAAGCACAAAAATTTGTAAGTCTACAACTGTACCTCATGGTGTTTCACTAATAAAAATTATTTTAAAAAAAGAATATTTAATGGGTCAAGCTAAATATTTAGTCATGTCTGAAAGACTCTAGGGCTGGAGCAATAGCACAATGGGTAGGGCATTTGCCTTGCATGTGGCCGACTCAGTAGACCCGGGTTCAATTCATCTGCCCCTCTCGGGGAGCCTGGCAAGCTACCGAGAGTATCTCACCAGCACGGCAAAGCCTGGCAAGCTCCCTGTGAGGTATTCGATATGCCAGACACAGTAACAAAAGGTCTCACAATGGAGACGTTACTGGACCCATTTGAGCAAACCGATGAACAATGGGAGGGCAGTGCTACAGTGCTGAAGACTGTAAATGGTAAATGGATATCACAATATTCCCATGGAAGGGAATGAAGTTGGACCTTTTTTTGGGGGGGTGCACACCCAGAGGTGCTCAGAACTTGCTCTTGACTCTACACTCAGGGATAACTCAGGGATCACTTCTTGCAGGATCAGGGGACCATATGGGTTTGTCAAGGATCAAACCCAAGTTGTTTTTGTGCAAGGAAAGCACCCCACCCACTTGACTATCCCTTTGGCCCCATAGACTTCTGTCTAATATTACTCAAAAGATTCAAATAAAACAGGATCCAAAAAATAAACAGAACTGATAACATAAAACTCCTAGAAGGGTAACATGGGGAAAACACTCTTTTTTTTTTTTGAAGTAAAACAGATTTTACTTGGAGGTTTTGAAGGGAAGGAGGAAGAGAAAATGGAAGAGTGGAGATTAATGTGCTCAAGGCCAGAGAGATTCCCTACACATATCCCAGCATTAGAAATGAAAGCATGAAAGTCCATATCTCAGGAAGGGAGATGTGGGTACCACATGTGCTCAGCCACGTGGGTGCAAGTAGCACATGAGCTCAGCCAGTATATGCGCACCAGGAAAACACTCTTTCACATTGATTTAGCATGATATTTTGGATATGATAACCAAAATTACAAGTAACAAAATCAAAAAATTTGAAAAGCAACTATAGCACTGTAAGCACTGTCCTCCCGTTTTTTATCGATTTTCTCGAGCAGGCCCAGTAACGTCTCCATTGTGAGACTTGTTGTTACTGTGTTTGGCATACCAAATATGCTTGCTTTGTGGGCTAGATACTCTCAGTAGCTTGCCAGGCTCTCTGAGAGGGGTGGAGGAATCGAACCCGGCTCGGGCGGGCCGGCCTCATGCAAGGCAAACACCCTACCACTGTGCTATCGCTCCAGCCTAATTCATCAGCAAATTTATAAATTTTGGAGATTATTTTTGGCTGAAAAGACAGCATGATATATTTTAAACTAAAGTTTTCTCATTTTAGCCAAATTTATCTTGCAAATTTAGCCAAATTTAGTTCTCAAATTTACCCCAAATGAGTCTATAGGCGCGCGCGCGCACACACACACACACACACACACACACACACACACACAGAGATATAGATATAGATACAGTGAATACACTTTTAGTTTGTTATATAAAAAAAGAAAAGCAACTATAACAAACTAAAAGTGTATTCACTACCAATGTTACATTAAAAACAAAACAGAAGGGCAACCCAAAGAAAGTGAAAAAAGCTTTGTAATCCATACAGTAACCTCCGGAACACACAAAGTCTTACTTATATAGAAAATAAGAACCTAATTAAAAATGATGAAGGACCCAAATAAGAAAATAATTCAGGGGCTGGAGAGATAGTACAATGGGTAAGGTGCTTGCCTTACATGCAGTTGACCAAGGTTCGATCCCTGGCATCCTATGTGGTCCTCTGAGCACAGCCAGGAGTTATTCCTGAGTGCAAAGCCAGGAGTAACGCCTGAGAATTGCAGGGTATGGACTTCCCTCAAAATAAGAAAATAGGGGCCAGAGCAATAGCACAGTGGGAAGGGTGTTTACCTTACATGCGGCCAACCTGGATTCAATCCCTGGCATCCCATATGGTCCTCATGCATCATTAGGAGTAATTCCTAAGTGCAGAATCAGTATCTGTGTTTCAAACCATAATGTCCAAAAGAGGAGGGGGAAGAGAAAGAGAGAGAGAGACAGACAGACAGAGACAGAGAGAGGCAGAGAGACAGAGTTAGAGAGATAGAGAGACAGAGATAAGCAGAGACAGAGATAGAGAGAGACAGAGATGCAGATACACTATGTTTTGTCCAATCAAATATTTCCAAGTATAATCACAGACAGGGTCTTATCATAATGGGGTAGATGGTGGATACCTGTGAAGAAGACATAGTTGATCAGGATGATGGTGACTGTGCTCTCCAGCTCCAGGAACAAGTCTGAGATTTCCCCCTGCGTCTTATCCTTGATATGCTCATTGATTTGACTGCTGCTTCTGTCTCTGTCCTGGAAATCCACGGGCAAGTTCTCCAATCCATAATACTGTTTGGTGTCTGTTGAGAACAGCTGCATAAGATTCAGATTCTGACTGTGGAACAAGGTGCTGCCCATGTTCATATCTGAAAATCTGAGGAGATTGTGAAGATGCTGGAAACTCTTGTGAATCTCATTTTCTGTAATCTCATTGATGTTAAAGCCCAGGCCATTAAGCATCTGAGTGCGTGTGTGGTCACCGGCACCCAGAGACAGCATAGACAACACCATAGAGATGCTTATGGGGGAGATTAAGATGTCCTTGTTGGGATTCAAGGTAGTTAGATTCTTAAAAAGACTGAAGGCAAAGTCAGCGTTGTTTGGAGCCAGGTTCCGGTAAGGGCTTCTGGTGCTTATGACCTCTTTGGAATCCTTAGCTTGGATGGTCTGCAGGCCACTGAGAGTCAGCCAGAGGAGGCAGGTGGAGAGGGTGAGCAGCATGGTGTACTTCAGCCAAGCCCTGCCAAATCAGAAATGTCTGTTAGCTGTGTGGGACCCGCAAGACAGTGCTACATGTGCAATGGGAGAGGAAGATCCTATCTAAGACCCAGTTCCTTTCTCTTCTCTCTCCACTGACTGTGGGGCCTAGGGCAAGTCAGGACAGCCGACCTCAGTTTCCTGATCTAAAATATGTGAGTACTTGCTAATTTACTATGCAATACCAAGAGCTCAATGTTGACCATGACATGTTACCTGTATTCTCATCTAACTCACTCCAGCAGGGGTTGGATCAGCAAGTAGGGGGTTTCCCTTGCACTTGGCTGACCCGGGTCCAGTCCCTGCCTCGGGTCTATGGTACTGCAGCCTGCTAGAAATTATCCCTGAAGAGCAGAGCCAGGAGTAAGCTTTGAGCACCACAAGGTGTGACCTCACCAACTCAACACACACAAACTCACACCAGCAAGCTAATAGATTAGAAATGATAATTCAGATTCTAGTAAACAGAATTATGGTCTCATTAAGTTATTAAGGATTAATTACCACCTTATTAAAATATCCAATATACTAAAAGGAGGAACACAAACCAGGAATTCTATATCTCTGGAGATATAGAATAGCACTTACAACAATGTCCTTCGATGACTGTCACTGTATCATTGTCATCCTGTTGTTCATTGATTTCCTTGAGCAGGCACCAGTAACGTCTCCTTTGTCCTAGCCCAGAGATTTTAGAAAGCGCCACATTCGAGGCTCTTTCAGGGTTAGGAGAATGAGACCCATCATTGTTACTGGTATTTGGTATATTGGGTACGCCACGGGGAGTTTGCCAGACTCTGCCGTGTGGGCAGGATACTATTGGTAGCCTGCCAGGTTATCCAGAGTAAGAACTAGATAATAGATGTTGCACGGCCGTGAATGAGGGAGAAATGAAGACTGTGCCAGTTAAACCAAAGCTGAAGGGGTTCATTGTTACTAATATTCCTTGCCACAAATGCTGAGAGAGAATTCCTCAACTGAAGTGAGAGAACACACTGAGAGGAAAAGACTAGTAGGAAGAAATAAGGATCCCTACCTGTGGCAAATGTCTGGACAATGCTAAAAACTCTGCCCTCCAGGTTCCTTGACCATTTTTTGAGAAACAAAAACCTGGCTATAAAAATAATGAGAGGTTACTCATAATAAAAGGTAAAATGCTTGAACCAGACAAACAGTACCTCAGGTAAGGTGCTTGCTTTGCATGTGACCAAGCCGGTCAAGATTCCAGCACCAGTATGCTCTCCTGTACACCATCAAGAATGATCTCTGAGGACAGAGCCAGGAATAAGTCCTAAACACTCCCAGGAGTGGCACTGAGCAAAGAGCCAGGAGCAGCCCTGAGCACTGCCAGGAGGGATCCTTGAGCACAGAGTCAAGAGTAATTTATGAGTATAGTCTGGTGCACCCACCCCATCCCTGTTAGCTAGAGTGAGAGAACAACGGTTAAGGCACTGGCCTAGAATGTGGCTGTGGTTACACCCCTGTTTTGAATCCCAGAGATGGCACTGCACAGGGTCCCCTCTAACAGGTACCACGAAGCAGGGCCTTTAGCACTTCCAAGTGTGATCCCAAAACAAACAAACAAAAAATCAAACTGTAAGAGGTAAAAGCAGCAGTAAAACATACAAACATGACTATACCTTTAATAACAGACCTTCAAAACATATGAAGCAAATCAAAGAATTGAAGGGGTGAAATTAATTCCTACAATAGTAGTTGAAGAATATCTGCACTTGATAATTGATCGAACAACCAGATCAAAGATACTCAATAAAGATAAGACATGAATAATAAATGAATTAGTTCTACCAGACATAAGCAAAACGATCTACCTAACAGAAGCAGGAAATACTTTTCTTTTCTTTTCTTTTCTTGCTTTTTGGGTCACACCCAGCAATGCACAGGGGTCACTCCTGGCTCTGCACTCAGGAATTACCTCTGGTGGTGCTCGGGGGACCACATGGGGATGCTGGGAATCAAACCCGGGTAGGCCTTGTGCAAGGCAATCCTCCTACCCACTGCGCTGTTGCTCCAGCCCCGAGGAAATATTTTTCAAATGCTCACAACCTTTTCTCCAAGGTGGACCATATCTTAGAACACAGATCATGGTTTAAGATATTAAAACCTATTGATATGCAAAGTATCTTCCCTGATGACAATGTGAGGGGATTGTAAATGACACAGAGAGAATCATATTGAATACAATCACTCAGAGGACAATGCCAGATAATCTGTCACGTGTGGTACATAAAGGAGGAAGGGAATCGGACAAGGTGGGTACAGAAGGAGTAGGGAAGGATGGAGTGAACTAGAGGTGAAAGATGAGAGTTGTGGATGGTTTGGGGCATGTAGATGGTAGTGGGGGTGCAGCAACTTTGTACACCAGAAGCATCAACAGTATGTAGACTTTGTTGCCTCAATTTTAAGAAGATAGAATATAAGGAAATCAAGAATCTAAGAGAAATAGACAATTAACAAATCTGTGAAAGTTAAGCAACATACTCTTAAACAAATAATGGGTTAAGAAGCATTATAAAGAGAATAAGAAAATATTCAGAAAGTAATGAGTATTTTAAAAAATAATATAGAGAAATTCCAGGAATCCAGAGAAAGTAGGGCTAAGACACATTTAAAATGAAGAAAGATATTAAAGATAACATACCCTTACAATGTAAGGACTAAAAAAGAGCAGATTAACTTTTTTAAAAAATAGGATAAGGAAGAAAACAATAAAGACTAGAGACTAGAGTTCAAGTAAGCAAAATACAGACTAAAAATATGAAACAAATATATCTTATCAATGTAGTATAATTTAGTAAGTATAATAAGTATTGGCAAAATGAGACAAACAAAACTAGCCAATTAAATAGACGAATATTTTGCCAGACAACAAGACAATATAATAGACTCAATGGCAAGAAATAAATCCCTGGTCTACAGTCAAACTTGAACATTTTTTAAATTTTTAAAAGTTTTTTAAAAAATTATTTTATTGAATCACAGTGAGATACACAGTTACAAGTTTGTTCATGATTGGGTTTCTGTTATATAATGTTCCAACACCCATCTCTTCACCAGTGAACATTTCCCACCACCAATGTCCACAGTTTCCTTCCTCCCTGCCCCCAACACCACCCATCTGCCTCTCTGTCAGGCAATTTTCTTCTCTCACTCTCTGTCATTCTCTCAAAACCATAAATAGACGATAAAACTAAGAAATTATAGGAGATCGGTTTTATTATATTGAATTTGGGAATGAGTTTTTGAATATGACATGAAAGATTTAGGAAACAGGAAAAATGAGGTATACTGGACTCTACAAAAACAGCAACAAAAAAAAACATTTTTTTGGTTTTTGGGGTCATACCTGGAGATGCTCAGGGATTACTCCTATTCAGAAATTATTCATGACACTGCTCAAGGAACCATATGGGATTCTGGGGGTTGAACCTGGGTCAGCCGCGTGGAAGGTAAATGACCTACCCACTGTACCCACTGCAGCCCTCAAAACAAACTCTTATGTATCAAGGACAATATCAGTAGAGTAAACTGTAGCTCATAATGAAAGAAAATATTTTCAAATCTAATATCTGAAGAGGACTCAATATGCAGAATAAATATCCTCTAAAAATAGAGTAGAAGCATGCACACTAAACTACCATGCCCATCAACAATCCAGTTAAAACATGAGAAAGGACTTGAGGAGACATTTTTTTCTTTTTATTTATGTGTTTATTTATTAATGAATCATCGTGAGATACAGTTACAGACTTAGAAAATTTCGTGCTTACGTTTCAGTCATACAATGACCGAGTTCCCATCCCTCCACCAATGTCCATTCTCCACCACCGATGTTCCCAGTATCCCTACCCTATTTCCCCCCACCCACCTCTGTGGTAGGCAGATTCCCTTTTTCTCTCTCTCTCCTTTGTGGCATTGAAGTCTGCAATGCAGGTATTAAGTGGCCATCATGTTCGGTCTATAGTCAATTTTCAGCACACATCTCCCATCCCAAGCCGATCCTACAAGCATCCTTTACTTGGTGGTTCCTCCTCTATCTGAGCTGCCTTATCCGCCAGCATGTGAGACTGGCTTCCAAGCTGTGGAACAGTCCTCCTGGTCCTTATCGCTACTATCCTTGGGAGTTAGTATCCCATTTTGTTACTTTATACTTTGAGGATACATTTTCCCAAAGGAGATATACAATGGTCAATAGGCACATTCAAAGGCACTCAACCAATCACCATTAAAAATTAACAGTCCAAGTCAAGGCCACAATGAAATACAATCATATCCATTAAAACAGCCACCATAAAAACAACAACAACAACAATAAAACAGAAAACAGGTGGAGAAGCCAGACACCAGGTACATTGCTAGAAGAAATGTTAGAAGATGCAGTCATGTGGGAAAGAGGATGAGAGTTAAACAGAGATCATTGTCTCAACAGTCCCACTTCTGAGGACAGACACCAAAGAAATAACCAAGGACCTCAGGCAAATATTTACACATGCTAATGTTCACAACTATGTTATTCATTACCGGGTGGAGAGAGAGAGAAAAAAAGGAGAAGGAGACAGACAGAGAGAGAGAGAGAGAGAGAGAGAGAGAGAGAGAGAGAGAGAGAAACAGAGACAGAGACAGAGACGAAGAGACAGAGATAAATACCCATGAATAAGTGAATGCAATTAAATTTAATTTATTTTCTATTTTATTTTATTCTTTTTTGTTTCTGCTTTTGGGCCACAACTGCCAATGCTGCACTCAAGGATAACTCCTGGCAGGCTTGAGGGACAATATACGATGCCAGGTCAGATGCAGGCAAGGCAAGCACATCATCCATTGTACTGTCTGACCCCATGAATGAATTTTTAAAATACGGTCATTTAAGGATAACAGTGCTGTGTCCATTCTATTCTCTCACACTACTCCCACTCTCCCCTCATACACCAGATATGTGGGTTTCCCAGGCATATCTAACTCCTGCTGAAGAGCCCAGCGTTGAACTCAGTCTTGAGTCAGTGCACACAGAGTGCCTGTCAGATCCTGAAAGCCCAGGGCTCAGTCCCCGCAAGACTGCCCACACCTCACACAGCCACCTCAACTCCCATACCAGCACCTGCAATTTGGGACCGGCTCCAAACCAGGGTCCCCATGACCTTCCTCTTGGGTTTGCTCTTGACTAGAGTGGCACCCAGACCTCGGAGAAGGGCAAATGTTTACCTGCGTGTTAGACAGGATATGGTACAGATTTTTAATTCATAGTCTGATGAAGAGATGTACAGGTGAGGCCCAGAAGAGTCCCAAGCAGAGAAGTTCCTTTCCCTGTGGTGCTGGCATGTACCACCCTCTCGATATGGAGATGTGTCCACTCGGTCAGAAGCTCTCTGAACTCCAGGTTTGGGGATTTTTATACCTTCATCAGACAAGCATGATTGATGATTAACTCAATCTCCATCTCTTCTCTCCTCCCCAGAGATGGAGGTGGAAGTGGGGTGAATGTGTCTGGGGGTTCCATGCTCCTAATCATGGTCTGATCTCTCTGGTGGCCAGACCCCACATGGAAGTTGTCCAGGAGGCACTAAAAGTCACCTCATTAGAAAAAGAAGATAATATTATCACCTAGGAAATTCCAAGGGATTATGAATTTTTTGTCAGGCACTGGGGCCAAAGACAAATATTAGTGATGTTCCTAGTGATCTTATCACTTGGAAACCTTTAAGGATTTAGTGACCCTGTGTCATGATTAGGGTCAAACACAAATATTAAAGCAAGAGATGTTTCTAGTGGTCTTATCACTGAGAAAACCACAGGGATTTCAGCCGTTCTGGGATAGAAACCATGGTAAGAGGCAACATGATTTTTTTCCTACTTCAGTACATGTTGCAATAGGGAGGAAGCTTGAGGGCATGGTGCTGAAGTAAACAATCCAATTACAGTAAAGAAGTAAGTACAGTGCTTTGTGAAGTATTGCCATTTTGACAATGTTAATTCTCCCGATCCATGAACAGGAGATATTTTTCCATTTCCTCATGTCCTCTTTTATTTCCTGAAGTTGCTTTTTGTAGTTTTCTCTGTACAGGTCCTTTACTTCCTGGTGGTGGGAAATGCGCACTGGTAGAGGGATGGATATTTGATCATTGTGTAATTGAAACCCAAGCACAAAAATTTGTAAGTCTACAACTGTACCTCATGGTGTCTTACTAATAAAAACTAAAAAAAATAATAATAAATAAAAAAAAGAAGTAAGTAAAAGTCATAGAAGTAGAAAATAGAACGATGCTTAGAGAGAATGCTGGGAAATGGGGAGTTGGTGATTCTTGAGAACAGAGTTTCAATCAGGGAGGATGAGAATGTTCTGGTGATGGGTGATGAGGATGGTTTGCACACTGTCATGAGTGAATCCAGTGCCATTGAGCTACATAACACAGAGTGGTCACTTGTGTTTGAGATATTTCAACAGATATTTGTGGGGTACACTCCTGGTGTCACCAGTGCTACACCTGGAGACGCTGTTGATTTTGGGGGAGGCATGCAATACTGAAGTTCCAAGCCAGGCCTTGCTAGTATATCCCGGCCAATCTAGTATATATTTTCCACAAGTAAAGTCCAAAAGAGCACAGGGTTTTTGGTTAAATGTGTTCTGAGAGCAGCTGAGAACACAGTCATTTGACATCAGGGCCAGACTGAGAAGTGCCTGAAAGGTCAGGGTCCCCCAGCGGGAGAGGGAATCTGACCTGACCCGGGAGGACAGAGTGACCTGTCCTCATGACAGCTGGGTCTAAGTCTCATCTGGATACCAAGGCCCCTGAATTCTCAGCCACAGTAAGGTTGGGGGTAACTGGAGGAGGTTTCCTCTGCCAGTCAGAGCAGGGGCCCTGCTGATTGTGGAGCCTGGCTCTCCTGGGAACTGGACAGAGACCCATGTAGCTCCCACTCATCTTTGCCTCTGTGAGTCAGGTCTCAGGTTACCTCCTCCAGGAAGCCCTTCCTCTCTTCTTCTCTCTGTGTCTGTCTCTGTCACACTGCAGTGACACCTCTGTCATGGTACGAATCACTGTCACTTGCATCTACCCTTCACTGTTCCCTGAGCAAGGACCCTGCATGCTGTGGGCAGCCTGGAGCTGGTTGGAATTTTTCCTTATTGTGAGTTCTTCCTCCCTTCTCCTTTGCCTCCTGTATAGTCCATTTCTCTTCCTTTCTCATTCCCTTCCTTCCCCAATCCTTCCCATCCCCCTCTTTAAGATTTCACCCCTCACTGTAACTGCCAATCCTCAGTGGATTACAACTCTCATGGTAACCTCACTTAATGGAGTATCCTGGGTTCATTGTACAGATGAGAAGACAGAGGCCCAGGAAGGTCAAGGAACTTGTTCAGAGCAGAGGCTCTAAGCCCTACAGTCTGTCTTCAGAGCTTGGACCAGGCCCTGCCCTCCCTCTGCTGTGAGTTAGTGCTCTGAAATGGACCCAGCAACGTCAGAATGCTGAGGGCCAATATAAGGCATGAATTTCAAGATAGGCCTGTCCTGGTCCCATCAGTCGTATGATGATTGGGAATGACTCTCAGCTCAGTGTCCACCCTGGCCAGGTGAAGGCCAGAGTCCTTGTGGGTGACCTCCAGACTTTGGAAAACTCTCCCAGGATTGCCTCACCACTGTCCATGCTTGACCTTATGTTCAATGCCCCGTTAAAGCAAATGGGTTTAACCCCTTGCTTCATCACTTTGTCTGGAGGCCAGGAAGGAGCAGAAGGGGTGGAGATACTCAGGTATTTCTCATACTTCACAGTGGGCTGTGTCCTGCCCTCTGGATCTGGCATGCAGAGCTGCTGGTGAATTGCCATTTGCCATGGTCCCAGTTGGTTAATAGTTAGAGGGAGGAGGCAGTGCCTTTCCTGTCATGGTCTCCTGCTCCCAGTCATAAATCAATGGGAGACTGGTCTTGAGTGATAACCTTCATGTCACTGACATTAAGAAGCATAACATTTAAGACCTGTGTCTTTTTCAACCTCCGCTTTCATGCAAGCATCTCTTACAAGAATCACCTCAACGAAGCCTTGGTCCTTTGTGTCTGCATCCCAGAGAGACAGCACAAGTTTCCAGGGGAGCCTTTGCTCCTGTTTTCTGGAGATGGCATCTAGTTAGTTAAGATACAGGCCCATTAGCAGGAAGGTAATAAAACTGACTCTGAGTCCATGTGGCACCCATGGACCTAAGTCCATGTGGCACCATAAGTCCATGTGGCACATGTTCTTATGAGGCAGGACACCAAAAATTAGTATTCCCTTCATAAGTAAAATAGTGAGTGATGAGAAATAGTCAAAGATTAGGGTCCCTTTCATAAACTCAAGTAAGCAGGTGGATGTCGGGCCACTGAGCGAGGTTCTGTGTTATCCATCTGGGTCCAACAGAAGATGTCCTGCTGGGGCTAGCCACAAAAGTGTCTCTCCTGACCAAGCACTGTGCAGTGTCACTCAGCAGTGATGCTGGGAAGTGTGGCAGGCAACTGCATCAGTGCTGGAACTGTGCAGAGCTGCAAATGTGGGTCTCAGGAAGGCCCCCTCTTTATGATTTTTCTCCAAAATTTTGGTTTTTTTAAATTTTTTCTTAATATTTTTCATACCCAGCGATGCTCAGGGGTTACTCCTGGCTCTGCACTCAGGAATTACTCCTGGCAGTGCTTGGAGGACCATAGGGGATGCCAGGGATTGAACCCGGGTTGACTGCATGTGAGGCAAATGCCCTAACTGCTGTACTATAGCTATATATACTATATGTTCCAACTCCAGTCCCACTACAAATGACCCCCAAGTTCCATCTCATTCACAGCCAGTCTCCTTGACAAACACAATTTTAGTTTAAGTATTGTAGTTTTGGTTCCATGCAGAGTCATTTTGGTTCCAGTAGTGTATATTATAAAGAAACCCTGCCTCTAAACTCCAACTCAATTCCAAAGACCCTGAGCCTTGCCCCTAAAAATAGGGGCCGTCTGTATTTCAAATCCCTGTAGCCTTACCTCCACACTGCTTCTTCTTGCTTCCCTCCTCTGTTTCTTTCTCCCTGACTGCAGGGAGCTTAGGTTTATCAGTTATACCCATCACAGTGCTCCCAAGACACTCCCATTCCTTTGTTTATTGTAACATAGCTCTAAACATTTTTAGGCTTAACATCGGTTTGTCCTTTCTCCCTAGCTCAGAGAGTTTATGTTTACTGAGTAACATCCATCACAATGCTCCGGAGGCACTTACATTCCTCTGTGTTTATCTGTAACCATGTCTCTGTGCTTTCTTCCCCAATCAGTTAATCACCATTTCCCCCTAAGCAGTACCTGTGACTTATAAAGTTAAATATTGCTTTTCTCTTCTCCTTATATCTTTTGCATAGTTACTTCAGAGCAATGTCCTTTTTGTATAGACACAGGAAGACATTAATGCTATGCTTTTGTAACTTGAGAGTTAATTGACTCCAAATAATATTTACTCCTGGGCATCTGTTTTTTTTTTTACTTAAGCCTCAGTTGCCTTAGTTCTTAGCACCCCAAAAGCAGGGTCCCGGCAAAGAACTGGATGGACCCAGGGCAAGCTGTGAGTTACCATGGCATCGAAATGGGCCAGACCAAAGCACCATAATACTTAACTATATGTTAAGACCATGGTTATGGACAAATTCTGTCATGATTTAAGAAGTAACAACTGAATGAGGACCCTGCTAGGGTTAGGAAAGACTAATCTGGTCTTGAGCACTGTTGTCTGAGATCTATAGAAAGATGGTGGTCCCTAGGAGAGCCACCCTACAACTTATTGTATCTCTTACTGTGTTCATACAAAATGACTAATATTATTGTGTTTAAATGGTTGTTGAACTAAGAAAAGGAGAAACACACCCATTGATGCTATTTCACCCTTAGACAGGTCTTCTTGCTGAATGAAAGTATGTCCTAGAAGAAGTTTGCCCTGAGGGAGTAACCTTATATTCGTTGATTGTATGACCACAATACCAGAACCCCCGATGATGGGGGAGATAACTAAGGCTGTAAGGGGGATCCAGGAGAAGAAAAATGAAGGAGCAGAATCCAGAGAGGAAGGGAAGAAGTGTATCGAGAGAAGGAGAATCAGGAGAGAATGGAGATGATATGGGAATAAACTGCAGTTGATACCAACCAGCTGAGCCCTAATTTCCTCCTTTGTCCTCCAATTGCCATTGGGAGACCCCGGTTGAGGAAGCACTGCGAGACCACCGAATGCAGATGGCGAGAGAGCACCGCCAGTCTTCGTATTCATTTTTTGAATACACATATTTCTGTAATCCTGGGCCAGATTTTCTCCTAACCTGATACCTTCCATTTCCTTGTCACGGTATTAGCCTCTGGTATTT